AAAACATAATTTTAGTTTCAGCCAGACGCTTAGTGATGTATGACTTGAGGTGCGATTTGGTAAGAGGAGGCAGAGCAGAAGTGCTGTGGACCTAAAGGATCAGGAAAAGCAAAAGGAGATCAAAAAGGAACTATCAGAAATGTAACAGGAAAAGACCCTCCTCCCCCTTGGTGAAATTCAGTGCCATGCAGTGTAGTAGAAACTCAGTGAACAAACTCGCAGTGGCGTATTTACAGAAAGATGCAGTTAGCAGTTGCGGGGAGGGAGGTTACCATGCATACTTGAGATTTCAAGTAGGATCTGTTGGATGTTAGGATCATAGGGGCCTCTGGAGGGGCCTGTGCTGGAAAGAAGCAGAATATTTGGCAGGAGCACAGATTTTCGAAATTATTTTGGAGACTTTCCTTGGCTATTTCAGGTTGTGGCCTAGTAAAACAAGGTTTAAGGGCCCATCTCCAAAATTTCTTTGGGTTCAACGGTGTGCTGTTGCACCAGCCAACACTTAGTATGCTGAACATCAAAAGATATCTCTTGACTGTTTGAATGTAAGCGACCTTCACACAAAGTATTATATACTTGTAAAGAGCCTTGGCTGTTAAATTTGCCATTGAAATGTGTTTTAAACCAGTTTTGGAAATGTTGTTAAATGGTTAAGACTGATTCTGCTGCAGAAGATCTCAGTAGCGATTTTGCTATCATAAGTTTCTTAATTATTGTAAAATATTTGCTGTATTACCTTATCTTGCTCACATCCAAAGTGAAAGATTGTGAATGTCAAAAGACAGGAAATAATTTAAGTTCCTTTTTCTTGGATAAGGACACCCGTTAAAATTAACTTGTAGAAATAATTTCTTCCTCACATTCATAAGTTATATATCCTTGTATGCTATTCCAGAATATTTCACACCTTTCACTTCAGTGGAATGGCAAAGCAGTAAAAACAAATCCTTCATAATATTTGTAATAGACATTTTATATAAATGCCACCCATAAGTACAGAAATTAAGAATCCTCTGTGATATGATCATACTTTATCTACCAACAGTCTTACTAAAGACGGTCTTTGAAAGACGAGTGTCTTAAATCATCCATGATTGTACCATTGTTATGAAACTCCTGGACTTTTACATTTTCAGGGGGGTTGTGGTTGTTTCTTTCCTTTTTTTGTTTGTTTTGTTTTGTTTTGAGACCCAGTCTCATGTAGTCCAGGCTGACCTCAAACTCACTATGTAGCAAACTGAACTGATCCTCCAGCCTCTACCTCCTGAGTTCTGGCATTCCAGGTTTGTGCCACCGTGCCTGGCTTTAACTTTTGTAACCAACTTTGTACCCATAACCAGCAAATAGGTGAGAGCACTTTTGTAGACATCATACAAACCACTGAGTTTGCCTTTCATGACCTGTTCACAGTAAGGTTTAGGAACAGTATTTCATGGAAAAAAAATGAATTTTGGGCTGGTTATGTAACCACTACAGTGGTAGTATCTTCAAATATACGCAAATAGTAAAAGCCTTAAGAGATTCAATTTCAGGGCCCTCTGAGATGGTGCATAGGTAAAGGTACTCTCTGCCAACCCTGAAGACCTATGATTTCCCTAACCCACATGGTGGAAGGAGAGAGCCAGCTCCTGTGAGTTGTCCTCTGACCTCCACAAATGACCCATTGGCACACAGGGACACACGTACCCACAAGCATACAGAAACACACACAAAATAAATAAATGTAATAAAAGATAATTTCATTAAATAGCAACAATAGCCTAACTATTCTGTTACTAGATGGTAAAATTAACAGAGCCCTTGCTTAGGAATCTGACACAGCTAATATAGATTATAATGCTCGTAAAATCACTAGATTTTGTGACCCTGAATGGGTCCCAAGTTTTTTTTTTTTTAAATTTGACCTTCCATTGCTAAAATAAGGGGCTTGGACTAGCCAAACTCTGAGATTAATTTCTGACCTGAAAGTGTAAATGATGACTTTTGGAGTTCTACATTGATAATTACTTTGATGTTATTTCTGTCACTGTATACTAGAATAATAATTTATAAAGCATAAGAAAACTTGACCAATAGTTATCATGTGACCAACACAATAGTAAAATCTGTGTTGGAATAATGTTGAGACAATTTAGTAAAACGCAAATGTAATTGTTATCTAAAAATTATCATTTCATTTCAGTTAAATATGCTTCATTAATTCTTCAGTCCAAACTGTAACTCCCTAAGGTTTCCACTTACAGAATATGTAATGTGTAATATATTGTAGCATTCAAAGCACTATTATGCCTCAGCATTTTATTTAGATGTTTTATATAACAACATATGCTTTTTTCGAGTTGGAGTGAACAAAAGACAAGGAAAAAATATTACTTGTGTGCCAATATCTGTTTTTTTCTAAATTCTGGTTAAGCTATGTCTCTGAAAGATGTCAAAGAATTTTCAAGATCCCAATCATTACAAGGCTACTCCTGATAAGATAATTAAATATGGTTTGAAAATGTATTTGCTGGCCCATTTTCAACTGTAGCTAACACTTGAGGACCTCTTCTGTTTTAGGATTGGTAATGAGCAAACGTCAGTGAGGATAAAATTATCAAGTAAGAGTATTAGAAAATTTCAAAAATTACTACTAGGATATTGCAGAACAAATGTAAAATAAACAAATGCCAAATAAATAATATGCAAGACGTCATACAATCAGAATTCATGGGTATGGAAATCAGGAGGATTTGTAGCATACTTCATATTTCATTAAGTGAAGTATGTTTCAAAAATAATCAGTGACTCTGGATGAATTCTCACTGAGTAATGATGCTACCTGAACTTAGGCTCTTTATAAAAGCATAAAACCTACTTGATAATTGATTATCCATTTTACAAAAAAGAAATTCTGAAATTGCTTATGAGTTTGTGTTTTAGATAGAAAATCATTGTGACTTTCAATTTAGTTATTAAATGATTTGCATAGCAAGTACCTTGGAAGGCTTTCCTTTGTCTCCATATTATTCAGTAAACTCTGAGTCATATGTCACTAAGTTCTCCATAAGAAAACCTAGTTAATCTTTTGTTCATTTGCTAAGTAATCATTGAGCACCTGTATGCATATGTGTCACATGCTATGCCTAGTGCTGAGAGTCTACAGATGAATTAGATATGGGTATAATACAGTGCTCAATAATGGACTCTGGAGATATCTCAGCTGGTAAAGTGCTTGCCTTGAAATTCAGTATGAGGACCTGAGTTCTATCTCCCAGAACCCATGTAAATATGTTATGCATGGTGGTGCACACTTGTAATCCCAGCATTAAAGTGGCAGAGACAAGAGGACCCTGGGGTTCACTAGCCAGCCAATGTAGCCTAATTGGTGAGCTCCAAACCAATGAAAGACCCTTTCTTAAGAGAGGTGGATGACATTCCTGAGGAAGACATCAAAGTTTCACAAATGTGTTCTGGCCTGCACACGAAAACACTCACACACACACACACACACACACACACACACGAGAAAAAATGAACAAGCTGAATAGTGCTTGACAGTAAAATTACAACATAAGTAACTGGGAATGTAGTTTTAAATATTACTAGTAAGACTCTTGACCTTTCAGAATTTTTCAAGTGTTTCTCATAAGTGTGAATTCTGTGGTGTCTTATGTAATACAGGCACACCAAAGTACATTATATAGTGAATCTAATATTTGTGTTTGTGAAAAATAACTAGTAAATTATTAGGAATAAATTTCTATTTTATGCATTTGGCAGATTGTGGATGTCTAGAGGGAGATGAATGACCATTTATTAGTATCTGCCCCTCTGCATTATATATCAATATTTGAAAATATTCACTAGTCATGTTATATAGCCTAATTTAAGGAAGTGTCCTACTGTATATATTACATTTATGCTAGAATAGAGCTTTAATTCTTTTCCATCTGAAGCAGTCTTGTACATTCATTGACATGTATTCACCTGTTGAAGTGAGCAACACATATTCAGTGACTTTCAGAAACAAAGCAGCTGTCGTGAGATCAAGGAAATGAAGGGAACATAGGGCCTTAGCTGAGTTCTAACTTGATAAACCCAACTCCTGAGTTCCCTAGCCTCAAAAGCTTATAATCATGAAGGTCAAAGACTTAGTGTAAATAAAAGCAGCATAAATATTCATCATAACCTAGCAATTCCAGTTATTTTGCTAATTCTGTTTTATTTTGTTACTGTTGAGGTACCTTGGAAAACTTTGCATCATTTGACTGTGATGACCTGCATAAAATTGCTAAAACTTTGTCAAAAAGTATTTTAACAACCTGCAAACTAAGAATACCAAATAGCACTATAGCTATGAGTGTTCATTATGCTGATGGGTGCAGATCCACATTTCAATTAGTTAATTTTTTTGAGTACTCCTTAAATGGAGTGTGGCCTTTAGGAAGAAAGGAGTGTTAAAAAAGTCTTGGCAAGGTTACATGATTCCACATTTCCCTATATCTTACTACTATGTGCTCCTGAATTTTTTCCCCAAGATTATGATGGTATTAAAGGAATGCAAAGATCAAGTCAACTCTTTAAAAAGAATGTGTGAGGAAGATTATCTCTAAGATGTATTCATGGGAAATATAGCACATGTGTTCTTTGCACAAGAAAAATTAATATTTCACAGATTTCTCTATGAATAACAATGAAAATTATGTTGATAGTATTGCCACCAACCCTTTAAGAATTTTTCTCCTCTATTGGCACTATTAAAATATAATGTATGAGGTCTTTACAATACTGTGTTTTAAAGAGTATTTTATTATTTTTATTTTATGTATATTTTATTTTATGTATATGAGTGTATTGTCTGCATATAATGGGTAGGTGTATCCATGTTGTTCAATGCCCACAAAGGTCAGAAGAGGGCGCTGGATCCCCTGGAACTGGAGTTACAGATGATTGTTAGCCACCATGTAGGTGCTGGGAGTCGAACCCAGCAAGAGCAGCCAGTATTCTTAACTGTTGACCCACCTCTCTAGCCTCCAAAGCTGTATTTTTTTTAATTGAGTTATTTATTTTTATTTTATATGTATGAGTGTTTTGCTCGAATGTATGTAAGTGCACACATGCATACAATACCCACAGAAATCAGAAGAGGGCATCAGATCCCCTGGAACTGGAGTTATGAATGGTTAGTAGCTGTCCTGTGAGTGCCCAGAACTGAACAAGGGTCCTCTATAAGAGCAGCCAGTGCTCTGAACCATCTCTCCAGCCCCAATGCTGGATTCTTTTTTTACATCAAGACCACTTAGACTGTGAAATTCACACTTCAGCAAAGCATTAGAATAGCTAATATACTTACATAAACATTTTCTTAGTTGCCCTGAGGATAAAATTTGATATTATGCAAAACTATATCAAATTATCATTTAAGAAATGTGACTGAGATTGATTTTATTTTATATAGCCAATTATATGTAGAATCACTTAATTTGAGTAAGTTTAAATTTATCAGACTAACCAAAGAACATTTCATTTCAGTAAACAAAGAAAATTCTCATTCCCAGAGCTGAAGAAATATGATAATCTTCTGTTTCCTTTCAGCAACGATACTGTATGGTTTATAATTCCATAAGTGAGATTGGACCAAAACCATTATTTTCTGATTCCTGCCGTAAGTGTTACTTTTGTTATAAAAATCTATTTCATCCTAAATTGCCTGGCATCACCTAGTAGTAAATAGTAAGAGAAAATGTCAAATATGGTAATTTGGATTTCACATGCAGCTTCATTTTTTGTTGCAGAAGTTTGTTATTTTACAAAAGGTTCAGTCCAACAAAAGTAAATGAAAAGAATGTCTCAATCAACATGGGAGATTTTACTGATGTCTAACTCTATGGAATGCTAGCTATTAGTATCCATAATTATAATTTACTCACTTGAGAACATCCCGGCTGTGACTATTGTCTTTCTCCAGATGACTACAGTTATTTTTGGACCAAATGCACATAGAATCATAACTTTTAAATTTTAGTTCTTCCAATTCTTATTTTCCTATAACCTCAATGTTCCTTAGCTTTCTCATTAATGAAGTGAGGTCATTTAGTTAGATTGGTTCTAAACTACAGGTGGTTTTACCTCACAAAGGACAACTGGCAATGTCTTGGGACACTTTTACTTTTTATACTGGGGAATGCTACCATTCTGGTCAGAGACTAGGGATGCTGACCAGTGTCCTACAGTGCATAGGACAGTCCTTCAATAATGAATTATCTGGCAAAGTGATGCTAGTGCCAAGGTTAAGAAATTGTAGAGTGGATTTCAGATCTCTTAAATAACAGTGAACTGAAATAATGATTTAGTAGTAAGTAAATTGTTCAAAACACATAAATATATAAGTAATCATACTTTTATTGAGTACATAGCTTGTGCTGAACATTTTGAAAGATCCTCATTTAATATTTGTCAGGCCCTGGGAATTAAAAATTACACATTATATTTCTGTATTCAATGGAAAACTAGTTTAGCCTATCATGGTGGTGCATACCTTTAATCCCAGTACTCAGGAGGCAGAGGCAGGTGGATATTCTGGGAGATCAAGGCCAGCCTGGTCTATGTAGCAAGTTCCAGACCAGCTGGTGCTACAGTAAGACCCTGTCTCAAAAAAAAAAACCAGTTAAAAATTTTTGGCTATATAGTTGTGAATGGAGATGGGTTTCGAATCTCTTTTACTAACCCAATGTTTTTTTTCTCTTGCCTATATTCTCTTGTAATATAAGTCAAAGCCCCCAACAATATTTCAAATTATTATGAAGATTTAATTTTATCAAATTATATAAACTTTCCATATTGGAAAGAAATGAAGCAGTGTAATACTTTTTATTAATAGGCAATAGTGTTGATTCATTCTACAGTCAAAGGCTGAAGTCACATTTAAACAAAAATACATTGAATGTATGAACTCTCTTAGCAGAGACCATTTGCAATTTGTCACAAAACTACTCATTCATTTCAAATGATCTTCCTAAATGTTATGCAAGGAAGGATTTCTTACATCATGGTAGCAAAACAGAACGAGGTTTATCATATAAAGTTATGTACAAAAGAAACTTCAGAAATAGAAATCTGAAAGGTTGTCCTTAGTGAGACAGCTAGTTAATAGCAGGATGAAAATGGTAGTGATGTTTCTCCTATTCTGGTGGTTTTTTTTGGCATTTGCTATATAACCTCTAATTTCACACCTATTCCATTACACTGGCCTTTCCTCTAGGTCTTTATTTTGAGACAGGCTGAAAACCATCTGTTCTATCACCAGTTTCCTCCCCCACTTCTAGAATTGGCTATGGGCTACTTGTTTATGCAAGTTCAAAAGATATATCTCAAATAGTGTGGGCGAGGGTAGGATGGGTCTCAAATATGCTTAGCTTCTCTTCTGAGTAAGACATGTATCTTATGAATGCACAGTCAAGAGAAGTCTGTCATTCAACACATTTTTAGAACTAGCTCTCAGGAAACTACTCTTGGGCAGACTTAAACTTGAATCCTGGCTCTGATGCTTAATAGGTGTATGACTTTAAGAAAATCAATGATCTCTCCAAGTCTCACCTTTCACCTTTAAGCAAAGATGATCACATTCATGATGAATGTAGGATAATCCAGCTTGAGGGGAAACTACAGTTTAGAATGGTCTTTGAGAAACAGTAAATTTGTTCTCAATATAAAGCCAGTTTCCACAATCCATCTGATGACAAACACAAGATTGAAAGGTCTTTTTTGCATTTAATTATTTGTGTATATGTGTATGGATCCATGTTTGCCACGACATGCATGTGAAGGTTAAAGGAAAACTAGCAGACGTCAGTTTTCTCCCTCCACCATGTGGAATCCAACTCAGGCCTGACAGCAAGCACCTTTACCTTCTGCACCATGTCACTGGCCCAGAAAAAGATCACTAAAGGCTGTAAAGATTAGTTGAATGTAGCAAAACAAAATGTAAATGGAAGTAATATATATGTAGTTTGCTTTGAGGCTCCAAAACTGTTTCTGTCTATACAACTGTCCTAATGGATTTTAATCACCTCCAGGTGAAATAGAATTATGTATTTTGTCCAAAGTTACCTGAGTGTAACTCAGGAGTATAGTGTGACTAATACAGTTAGTGACGCTGTCTTGAACTACTTTAGCAGAAGATACATATTAAAAATAAGGGTTTAAATATACTTATTTAACACTATTGACCAGTATACTTAAAATGGTTGCAATGCTGGATTTTAGGTTTGCACAACTCAAAAAGAAGTGAAGAAGAGTGTAGTGGCCCACACCTGTAATTCCAGAATTTGAGAGACTGAGGATTGTGAATTTAAGGCCAGCCCGAGTTACATAAGGAGATGTCTCAAAAAGTAAAAACAGCAAAAGAGAAGACTGATCATCTAGTTTTACTTTGTTGTTATTACAGTATTGTTAAGGGGACTGTGGTTAAGTTACATGCCATATGAAAGAACTTCCATTCATTTACAAAAGAAGAGAAAGGGAAGGAAGAAAGAACAACTGTCTAAATATTGAAGGAATATTAAATAGAAGAATGAAGGGTTATACTTACCATGTCTTAAGAAATTAAAGTAGATCCAGGGGAAGCTCTAAAACTGCAGTATTCAAACCATGGTTCCTGGACCAGCAGCATCAGTATTGCTAGGGAACTTTTAGAAATTTATATCATGAGCCACATCCTAGAACTTACTGAGTCTGAAATTCTAGGTATATATTTCAGTGATATTTCTTAACACCTCTCCACCTCCTGAGTGCCAGGATTATAGGTATTTGCCACCACAAATACCAGATTTATATGGTGCTGGGAATTGAGTGCAGGACATGCAAGCACTCTACCAGCTGAACTTCATCCTCAACCACCAACTCTCAATGAGAATGATTTTGCATGAGAAATTGTTCAGAAAATTTGAGAGTTAATCATATTGAATTGATTAGGAAGGCTTGGTGTTTAGATAAAATTAGAGGAAATCCTCTTCAGTAAGTTTCTTTGTTGAACTTTTTATTGATATTTTTTAGTTGAAATACAAAGCAATAGATCTCTGAATGACATTTTAACACATATCATTTCACATTGCTCATAGTACCCCCTGTTACCCTCCCTTGTCCCCCTCCTGCTTGTTTATTTCCTCTTCCCAAATATATATTTAGCATACAGTATTTGTATTTTGTATTTCTTTTCCCCATTACCCTCTCTTATTCTCCACTCCCCTCCTTTTATAACCCTTCCTCCCTCTACATAGTCCCCCTTTGACTTTCATGTCATATGTTTTTTCATCTAGATTCTGCATAGGAGAGAAAAAATGCTATTTTTTCTGAGTCTAGCTTATTGAACTTCACATGATGATCTCCAGTTCCATCGAATTTCCTGCAAATGACATAATTTCACATTTCTCATGAATGAACGAAACTCCATTGTGCATAAATACTATATTTTCACTATCCATTTATCTGCTGATGGGCATCTATGCTAATTCTATATCTTGGCTATTGTAAATAGTGCTCTCCTAAGCATGAACATGCAAATATCTCTGAATATATGTTTATATATAATACGGTTTTAGGAATATAAACAGGAGTGAACAGAAGTGGTATATTAAGTATACTTTAAATGTGAATCATCCTGCCAGTCTCTTCCTTTATAATTTCATAATTCATGTTTTAATTTTTTAATTATTTTATTTTATGTATATGCATGTATTCCTGGGTGTAAGAACACCCATATCTTATAATACCCTTGCAGGTCAGAAGAGGGCGTCGGATCCCCTGGAACTGGAGCTACAGATGGTTGTTAACTGCCATGTGGGTTCTGGGAACTGAACCCGGGTCCTTGAGCCATCTCTCCACCCCCATATATGTTTTCATTTTTGATTCACTAGAGTCAGGTCATCGACATTTTCATAACAAAGAGAATTTGTCACTGACAAATAATTGTAGGTGGTAAGATCAAAACTCCACATCCTGTCAGGAACAGCCTTGCTTATTACAGATAATAGATCTAAATGCTTATATATTCATCACAAATGCTAAGCTCAGCATTTAATGCCTTCTACTTTTGATGAATGCCATTTCTGTTCTGTATGTGTCCACTACCATTCTTGCCTCCCTTAAAATACTTTATACTATTCCTTTTTATTATTTTTAACATTTTATTATTTTTTTTACCTATACAAAGTAAGATGTTTCATTTTGGCATTTTCACACATGTGTCATTATTACTTTGTTCTAATTTGTCCCCTTCCCCAATGCCCTCCCCTGTGCTCCCTGACACCCTCTCTGTTTCCCTGCCTCCTCCTAAAGTAGTCATCTTTTCTGCTTCCATGTCACATTATGACATTACTCTCTCTGTTCCTTTTTCCCTTGGGATCTCTTCCTCCCCTTTTATGATCCCCTTTCTAGCTTAATGACCTGCATGCATGTACACACACATACACAGAGATATATACACATACATATAACTTTAAAACTAGGCTCCACATATACCAATGTCAGATTTAATTTTTCTTTACAGCTTAATAAAATCTCATTGTTTACCTGTTTGTTAAAGCTTAGACCAAAACCTGTTATCTATAATTTTCTTCCCAAACACTTTGGCAGAAATGCAATGCACTTTCTTATGTCCTTTATCACCCAAAGCCCTTTGGTCTTGGGATTATAGTTTTTCCATACAAATATCATCTTCCTTACTGAAGTGTATACTCCTTGAGATTAGGAATTAGTCATTTCTAATATGCATAAAATTATATATGTTTTATATATACTGGAAAGCATCAAGGTAAAATGAAGCCTATGTTCTGACTCCATCAAATAACATATGGCAGGTTATTTGAATTTCACCTTATCCCAGTTTCCTAACTCAGAATGTACAAAATACTATTTACTAGGTACATTTGTGTTAAGGCCTATAAAAGATAGCTTGTCATCTTCTTTAACATAAAGAAAAGATTCTCAATTATATTCACCCTCTTCTAGAATATATAATATAATAATGTGAAAATAAGCTTTGTAAGTGTCAGTAGAACTAAATCACAGTGAAGCACATCGAAGGAGTGAACGAAATATTATTATGTGGAATTAAAATGAAGAGGTAGATGGGAAAGATTGTTATAAGTCAGAACCTATATGAATCAGTGATTTGCTGAAGGGAATGGCTGTGATTTTTGAGCCTAGTGTTTTATGCCATTTGATAAAGAAAAACAGTCCAAACCTTGTTTGACAAAGTAAGTCTTGGCAGTACTATTCTAAGGTAACAATCATAGAGGCAAAAACAATTGCATAGACTTAATGGAAATGATATAGAACATCAGTGATGAAAGACATATCTAAAAGACCTAATCTATGATATCCACTAATTTATTTTTCAGTTTCAAACTATGTTCAAGAAACAAGAAATTATGCGTTGATACTGGAAATCAGCATAGATTTTTAAGAACTCTTGAACTGCTAAGTTATTGGTTTATTCTTTTTAATTTTTTTAATTTTATGTACATGAGTGTTTTGTCTGCATGAATATAAGTGCACCACATGTGTGTGGTGCCTGCAGAGGCCAGAAGAGAGCATCAGATCCCCAGGAACTGGAATTATGGATGATTGTTAGCTGCCATTTGAATGCTGGGAACTGAACCTGGGTTCTCTGCCATCTCTCCAACCCCATTATTATTACTTTTTCTAAGGCACATAAATTCTAATTTGTGTCCCCAAATGTTCTTCGTGCGAACCCATCCCCTAGAGCCTGGTCAACCTGCCCAACATCACACCCTTAAAGAAAACTGACTCTCCCTCTCCCAGTAGTTATTAGTTACCAATAGTTCCCCAACTAGGGTTGGGACTTCTTGCCCACCTTCCACCCTCCATGCTGGGGATTTTGTCTGGCTTGAGATTGCATAGGTATTGTGCACGCTGTCACAATTGCTCTGTGTTCATATGCTATCCGATTTGAAAAACACTTTTTTCCTTACAGTCATGTACCATCTCTGGCTCTTACAGTCTTTCCACTCCCTCTTCCTCAATGCCCCTGGTTGTTTCTTAAAGAATGTTTTCCTCAGTGGTAATGCCATTTTGTCACTAAAGGGTCACTTGTCCAAAAATTTGGGGTAGGCCTCCTGATGTGATCCTCTGGAAGACTCACTGCTAGAGTCCTTGGGCAGTCTCATACATAGGTCAGCATATGGGCAGGCCTGACACCTGAGTCTTTGGGAATGACCCTGAAACCTGAATCCAGTCAGCCTGATTGTCAGGCTACACTGAAGTCTGAGGCTGCTGAGGTCAGTCCGGTGCCAAGGAAATCTAGAACCCAGGACTACTGAGGCTAGCCAAGCATTACAACAGCCCAGAGACAAAGACTGTTGCACAGACTTAGAGCCTAGGATGGCAGGATCCAGACTGGTCCCAGAGCTGGCTTGGAGACTAAGTCTGGAGATGACAACCTGAAGCCTGGGGTTTGGGAACCTGCATCGTACTGGGTTTTAACAGAATGGATCCAGTATTTAGATTCAAAGTAAAACCTTGTTTTCACTACCCTCTTCTTCCCTCACACACAAAATATCTTTCCTCCCTCAGTGCCACCTAGGATTTGTGAAAGGGTGATACAGGTAAAAGAAAATTTTCAGGTCTATACTCTTCAATGTATTTTTGAAATATACCCAGATACTGTAATCTTCAGTCTGTTTTCCTTAACTCCTGTGAAGTACTTTTGTGAGTGGATAACTGTTTGAACTGAGGTCCTATGATCTTGCTGACATTTACTCTGGTAACATTTAATTAAAAATCCTGGTTTTATAATCAAGACAGTTATATAGAGGGTGAAATATTAAATTTCCTCCTCTTGTTCCTTGCCCCATTTCCCAAATGTAAATACTTTAAAATTTCATTTATATGATTCCATAATTTTCTGTGTACAATTTAATTTTATCATTGTTAGACATTATATGTATTATGTTTTAAAACTTCATTTAGCATATTATCCTTGCAAGTGTGTATGGTACAAGCTTACTCATTTAAATAGCCAAATAATAAAGATTTTATAGCTTTAATTACTTAAAAGTAAACTAATAAACATTGGCAGAATGTATTGAAGCTGTTAAGGACATTAGATATGTGTGAACCTAAACTACAGATTCAGAACTATTTGGTATGTGCTGTTTATTACAGGAATGAACACTGTAGCATAAATTTCTAGATCTTAGTACATGGGTATTACTTTAAATGGGGGCTGGTATTTGAGATCTGCTTGTACAAGTTAGTGCCTTGGATTTGTACAATGATAGAAGATATTTGTCTTTCGTGGACAATGATGATTTGTGGTTCTGTGTGATTTTTAGGTAATATGGAAACCTTATCTTGAGGTGCTTGACAATCTTAGAATGATGGCACTTCTTAGTATTTTCTGCTGTAAAATAAGCATCAAGGCTGGGTTTTTTTTAGTGCAAATTTTCATTATTGATTCTTTAAGTCATTCTATGAAACTTAACATGTTATTGGTATCCATTTAACCATTCCTTTAGAATGTTATTGCCTGGACTCACCATACTAAATTGATAACTGTTTCCATATTGACATTAATATATGTATATATATGTATATATATAGTTTGTGCATGTTAAATGGAAACTTTGAGGAAAATGCTATTATTGCATACTTACAAGCATGAAAATTTCATTAATTCAAATTTAATTGATATGATAAATATGATTGATATTTTCCTCCCTTTATTTTATTCATAGATGCCATTTGTGATGGACAAGAAAGATCTGTACATTTTACAGATGATTTTTGTCAAGTGTGTAGAGTGGTGCTACAATCCGGATCACAAAGGATTTCACATTATGAGGTTGGTTATATACAGTGGACTAAGGATGAGAAATCATGTTTTAAATGTAGCAAGTCCTCTTCCTGTCATCTTATTTGGTTAGTACAAGAACCTGAAATAGATGGGATTACTTCTATTTGGTACACAAGAATATTGACTTAGTAAAGGTCAGTCAACATACAAAATTAGGTTTGGTGAATCTAAATTAAATTCAGTTGTTTTTACTGCAAAGTTTATTTGCTTTCCCTCGCATCATTCTGCATCCCTTTATATTCACTGTCCTTATGGTAAGCATAAGGGAAGCATTGTCAAGCTCTCATAGGAAACAATGTGATTCAGGAAATATTGTAGAACTCCCAGACTCTTCCTTTAATAAATAAAAACACTAGAGCTAAAACATACCAGTCTTGCACTTGACTTGGCCAAGGTTTAGGCACCAAATCATAGAATTCTAGAGCCAGAAGAGGAAATGCTTAGTGTTCTTACACTCAGTTTATAGATTAGAAACTGCAGCCTGATGTAATTCTTAACTATTCATTGTCCCAACTAAGCTTAAAAACAATTACTTCTGATTTCATATTCAGTGGTCCTTAAATTTGGTACTGCTTCATGTTCTACATTATCTGCTAAGCCACTGAATTTCTTTAAATCCAGTAACTAGAATACCTAAAGTAATAGATACTTTTGCCTCAAACTAATGTAATTCTAGTTCTACCTTTTGAAACACTTCGTCTAACTTGTCCATTGCTCATCTTGTGGCAACTATATTTTCATATGAAAAATTATTTAAATATACAATTGGTGTTAAGCTTTGTATCTGTAACACAGTTCCAAATACCTTTGTTCTTATGACTCTGTGAAAGATTTGTTGTCATTTTTATTGACTAAATTAATGACAATAAATAATAGGCTTTATTATTATATTTTCATACATGTGTAGCTTGATCACATCACATTGGAACGCCAGTGTCTTCTCTTGGGTGCCCCACTCCTATTGATCCTCCTGCTCTTTCCAGCTAGTCGTCATTCTAATTTCATGTGTGGTTTTCCATTGCCTTTTATAGCTTGTACTTAATGTTGATTAGAATTAAATCACTATAATTACTGATGGGGAAATTTCATTAACTGTTGAGTAAGAAAAACTAGGTTTGTGACAATTAGATCATTGGCTAGTTGTATGATCCTGAGTAAGTCACTTTATGAAGTCTATTTCTTGAACCTGAAAGTGGGGATAGTAATAATCTCTATTACTATACTTATGAGAATAAAGATAAATGTGTAAAAAATACTTATCGCAGTCTCAGACTCCTTAGCTTAAGACTTAGAATTGGTAAAAAGAGACAGAAAATTAAAAACATCTCTGAGCACTGTGGTCAGAACCATTTGAAATTTAAATTTGAAAATAACTTTTAATTACACTCTTCAGTATACAAAATATATAAAAGAAAATATCAATCATAATTCTATCACTTATATTATAATTTCATTTCTTTTTATAAATGATTTCAATGTTTCATGCATGAGTACACACATTTTTACAGAAAAGAATCATGGATGTTGTGTTTATTTTATTTTATAAGAGTATATTCTGGGATCTAAAGAGATGGCTCAATGGTTAACAGTATATACTACTCTTACAGAGGACCCAAGGTTGTTCCCAGCACCCAGATCAGAAAGCTCACAACTACTTGTAACTCCAAGTTCAGGGAGGCTCTGATGCATCTGGCCTCCATGGGCATGTGCAAACACCCACACACAGACACGCATACTCATAATTAAAAATAATAAAAATAGCAGGGCGTGGTGGAGCATGCCTTTAGTCCCAGCACTCAGGAGACAGAGGCAGATGGATCTCTGTCAGATCAAGGCCAGCCTGGTCTACATAATGAGTTCCAGGCCAACTGAAAATACAGGGAGACCCTCTCTCAACCACCCGCCACCCCCCAAATAGTAATAATAAACCCCCTTTTTTAAAAAAAGAACATATTCTGGACATTTTGTTCCATCAAATTCTTTTCTATAGTATTTTAATTGCTATAAATTGTTATGTAGATGTGGTATCAGATTTTTTTCAAATTAAATTTAAGTAAGAGACATAGTCAGGACTTAAGTCTGTTAAGTTGGAAAATCAAAATGGTATTGTTGATAACATATTCTATATAAAGTTTCTACTTGAAAAAGTGACTTACTTTATTTCCTTTTTAGTATCTAGTTTTAGTACTACTGCAGGATTGTTTTGATGTTGTATTGATCTTCCATAAAAATAATTACAGTGTTGCCAAAGTTTTGTATTTTGAAATTGCATTTATTAATATTAATATTCATACTTATGTGTTTAAGAAATCACTCTGATGTCGGGCGTGTTGGCACACGCCTGTAGTCCCAGCACTCAGGAGGCAGAAGCAGATGGATCTCAGTGAGATGGAGGCCAGCCTGGTCTACATAGTGAGTTCCAGGCCAGCTGGGGTAGAGGGAAACACTGTCTCAAAAAGACCAAAAAATAAATTAATTAAAAAATTACTCTGTACACTTCTTCTTACAAATATACCTTTCCATTTTCTTCCCAAACTTTGAAAAGTTTTATTTCAAATGTTAAAATGTTTAATTTATCTAGTACTGATTTTTGTGTGTGGAAGGTAATAATAATTTATATGATTAGCCAGTTATCACAGAACTGTTTATTGTACGAGACCATTCTTGGCCCAATGGTTTGTTATGGTGCCTACTAATTTGCACACATATATTAATACATGTATATATGTATGTATAATATATATATATAATTTTTCTGTTTTCCTATTTCTACAACAATTTTACCTTTAAGTCACAGATTTATAGTAAGTTACAGTTATCTGTAGGAGAATTTTATATGGTACCAAAAAATCATGGAGTTAGGGGTGTAACTCTATGGTAGAGTATTTGTGTGGGGCCCTAAATATAATCCCCAGAAGAGGGTGGGTGAGAGCAAGAAAAAAGCACTAACTGAAAAGATAAGCCACAGATTAGATAATATTCTAACCCTCAAATAACAGTTATTCTAGTTGACAGAAAGCAACTTAGGGACAAAAGGGTTTATTTTGGCTGCTTACAGATTGTAGTCCATCATCAAGGGAAGTCAGGGCAGGATCTCAGGCAGGAACCTGGAACAGTAACTGAAGCAGAAACCAGGAGAGGAATGCTGCTTACTGATTTGTTTCTAGGCTTACATTTGGCTTTCTTTTTTAAAATGCATTTTTACAAAATTTTATGTGTATAAGTGTTTTTATATGTACCACATGCATACAGTGCCCAAAGAGGCCAGAAGAGGGTGTCGGATCCCCTGGAAATAAGAGTTACAAACAGTTCTTAGCTACCATATGGGTGCCAGTAATTGAACCAGGTCCTCTGGAAAAACAGCAAGTATTCTTAACTGCTCAGCAATCTCTCCAGGCCCTCAGCTACTTTTCTTATACAACCAACCCAAGACCACCTGCCCAAGAGTGGCATTGCCCAAAGTTAACTAGGCCCTCTTATATTAACTAGCAGTCAAGAAAATGCCCCTCCAGACATGTCCACAGACAGGCCAATCTGATAGGGAAAATATCTCAGTTGTGGTTACCTCTTCCCAGGTGTGTCAAGTTGACAACTAAGATTAGCTATCACAATAATTAGTGGCTAGAATGTATAAAGAACTGCAAATCAGTTAGGTCTTATACCTTATAAGAAATATGGGAAAGTGATAAGAACAGGCTATAAGAGAAATGCTCAACTTCACTAATGATAGAAAAGAAATCCAAGTTAAAGAGATAGTGAAATAGCACATAAAAAACATGACAATGGCAAAAATAAAAGTTTAATAATCATTAAACCAGGAGAATATAGGGAGACAGAAGCATTCATGTTGCCTTTGGAAATCTAAACTGCTTCAGAATCTTACATTACCTCATAAACTGAAAAGCAACATACCTTATGAACCAAGAGTTCTAGTCTTAGGTATATATTGTAAAGAAAGTCTTGGGATATGTGCTTACCCATATTCATTACAGTGGTGCTTGTAATAACAAAGTAGAAAAACAAAGCTCACTTAATAGGGAACTGGAGGAATAGCATGTAGAGTAGAATATTATGTAGTTTATAACATGAATGTAAATCTTAGAAATATAATGCTGAGTTTTCAAAGGAAATTTTACTTTTTTATGTGTATGAATGTATTGTTTGCATGCATGCAAGTGCATCCATGTCTTACAATGCCTGCAGAGGTCAGAAGAGGTCATTGGATCCCTTGGAATTGGAGTTAGGACAGTTATTAGCCACCATGTGGATGCTTGGAATTGAATCCAGTTTCTCTGCAAGAACAGCCAGTTTTTAACTGCTGAGCTGTCTCTCCAGTCCCTCGAGGGAAATTTTAAAGGGATATGTATGGTGTACTTTAATTTTCATGACTTTTAGAAAGCAATATATAAATCATATGGGTAATTGCATACTCAGTGAAGAATAAAAGTGAGAGAAAATATTATTTGGAGGCTAATAATTTTCAGTTAATGGTACCTGCATAAGAAAGAAAGGAGGCAAGAATCCTGAGCATGTGGGTATAGGACCATATATACAAATTTCATTTCTTTTACAAAGGAGATCTGGAAAGGAAAGCAAAACATTAACATTTATTGAAAGTAGATGGAGGGTATGAACTTTGGCTGTATTCTTTCTTGTCCCTTTAGGGTGGATTATTTTACATTTTAAAATGAGAGAGTGCCCAGGACACATATTTTTACTTTTCCCTTTACCCAAACCAACATTTTGGTTACTATTTCTTTTATTTGATTATATATATTTATAAATTATTTGGAGGGTAACAACTGCCAATAACTCCAGTTCCATGTGATTTGATGCCCTCTTTTGACCGTGGGCATTACATGACATGGGTGCATTTATATGCATGCAGGTGAAACATTCATATACATAAAAATAAATAAAACAAAGAAAATTTTAATAAAACACCTTAATGTAAAAAATTCAAATGTGGTATGAACTCAGACTGATTTATTTTTCACATGAAAGAATTTGAAGAGGGCTTGAGAGATTGTTCAGCGTTTAAGAGCACTGGCTGCTTTTGCAGAGAACCCAGGTTTGATTCCCAGCACCCACATGGCAGCTAACAACTGCTGTAATTCCAGTTCCAAGGGATCTGATGCCCTCTTCTGACCTCTGTGGGCATTGCATAACATGGTTGCACTTACACATGTGTAGGTAATATACTCCTACACATAAAATAAAAACAATAACTAAATTTTTTTAAAAAATGAAATAGTGCAGGGCTGATAGGACAACTTTATAGCATAATCAGATACATAGTTATTTTCTGTCTTAATGCTTTGATTAATGGTCTTTTGTCCTCAAGATCAACCAAGAAGACTACTGAAACCCCATCCTTTGTATCTTATAGAAATAGGAGGGAAGGACAGAATAGTTTATCCCACAACCTTTTAAGAAGACTTCCCAGAAATTTCACACATTTCATATGACATGTTAGTAACCAGAATCTAGTTACTTGACCACATGTTGCTGAAAAGAAACCTGAAAAATACAATCTTTTAACTGGGTACATTGCCCAATATTAGTAACTAAGGAATGAGCAGATCTTTTACAGTGATTAGCAAACACAAATCTCTTTCAAAAGATTAT